CCTTTGATTATGCTAGACTTCCACAGTGGTGTGCTTCATCTCCTACAGTGTTTGTAGACATACCACTTATGTTTAGCACAATGAAAGTTGCAAGGCATTAGGACTCAATGTTCCTCTTCAGGTCTTCATCATAGTCCTTATCCATTATCTCTACTCCCCACCTCCATCCAAGTCAGTTGTTCCTGTGACCTCTTGAAGTTGGGCAGGAAGAGATTTCTTTCAGACCACAATTGTGGCCTTTCAGCAGCTACATCAACTTCTCCACTTTCTTCTAGAGAAATAAATCAAAGCCAGACCTTTTGTGTGTGAAGGAACATTCAGTCTATCATATTGACAGGTAATTTGCCAGTATCTGTGTAATAATGGTGGTGATTAATGAATACTTGATAATCAATGGAAATATGTAATTTTTAAAGACAAACCTTTTCACATCCTACAACCTTTGAAAATCATGATTTCCATATTTGTGGACCTTTATATATTGTGTGTGTGTGTGTGGTTGTGGGTGTATGGTGGTGGAGAGCTCACTTTCCTTTATATTTAGTCCTCACATTCTGTGAAGGATGGGTGAGAAAATAGGTGTAGAAATAACCTGAATCAAAAGCCTGTGTCCACAAAAAAGGTTTCAAGAGACATGTTGTACCCTTAACTTTAAGCTTTAAACACAGAAAATATGTAACTGGAAAGGTCAACATTTTCCTGTGTTTTGGAACATGTGAAAACAAGGGGCTATGATGGAAACAATTGAGCAGCTCACTGCCCTGGATACATTTGGTACCTTAAATTCTAGAGGTAATTCAGTCTCACCTTGATTAAAAGGATGTCCCTTTCATCCCCTTGATCACAATCTGATCACATTAACTTTTTCATACTTCTTTCTACCATTACAGATTTCTTCAGATACTGTATATAAAATCTGGACGAGATTATAATTCATTGCCATTTCCTCATACTTGTCATAATGGTTTGAAGTATTTACGCACCCACACCCACATAGGTTTATCCCCTCTGGCCAGCATTTTTCCATAGATTTTAAAGAAGGTAGCAAGTATGTAGCAAAGGAGAGTCATCACTATGCAAGTTCATCAAGCCTGTGGTTTCGACTGAGGATGGGGTTGGAAAGGAGCTGGGAAAATGTTGGGTCTTCTCATAGCAACAGCTTTAATACCCCAGGAACAGCACTCCAGGAAGCCTGCACCAGCTTGAGCAAAGACAACAGATACCCCCACATCCTTTTTGCAAGTGGCAATCAGAAGACATGTGCCTACCAGTCATTTGGGGTTACTGTGCCACTTTCAAAGCAATTTTTTCCTTAATGTTAGGGTGAAGTTCTGAGGGTTACATTTGCACATGGGGGCTGCATACCGGTGGTTGGTGGAGACCAGAAAAAATATGTGCATGTCATAGGCAAAAATGAGTGAATCAATGGATGCGACTCTTACCTTTATATTGTAGACCACATTCCAGTCACACAAAAAACCAGTGGGTTCTACACACCCATTTCTCTATCCACCACCCAGGGACCAAGGGGTATTATAACAGTTTAATGACATATTGTAGCTGGGCAAAAGCCACCCACAGAGGGTGTGGAGCAGGGTAGGTTAGGGGTGAGACCTGGCTAGTGCCCTGAGGACCAGATGAAAAGGCTTGGAGGATAGAAGTGATTTTCTTGATTCTTGACACTATCGTCCAAGTATTTACACAAGTCCAATAGTTCAACAAAACTTGCCCTGAATCTTGCAGTCTCTGAGAAGAGTCAGATGACAGTCCTTTAAACCACCATGCAGCGATATATCCTTCCAGAATCACTAACTGAGAACTCCATTTTTCACAGGCCGTAAAAGTTTGAAAGGTTAAATACTCAGCTAGCTGTAAAGCCTCATTCCATTTTTAGCAACGAGATCTGGCTTGCTGAGAAACTGATGGATTCAGAGGCAATTTGAAGGTGCATATGTTGCACACACATTTTAACTCCACCTTTTCTCTAGTGAGCTTAGACCAGCATGCATGGTTTCCCCCATTTTGTTCACAGAACAGCCCTGTGAGGTAGACTAAGCAGCACTCTTCAATTTTGAGTCCCCAGTGTTGTTGGGCTACAACTTCCATAATCCCCAGCCAGTTTAGCCAATGGTCAGGGATGATGGGAGTTGTGGTCCAACAAAGAGTGGAATAGAGTAAGTGATGGGCCTGACCTGACTTAAGGTCATCTAGCGAGTTTCATGAATAGCCCTGGTCTGACGTCCTTACAACTGCACCATACTTGCTCTCTAACTCCCCCTGACTCCCTATGGCATTGCAATGATAAAGGTCACCTTGTGTAGGAAAATTCCTCAGGATTTGCATTTGGAATGCATTGCAGCTTGGATTGACTGCTAATTGTACTAGGAGGCGAAAGAAGAATGTTCTTCTGCATTGATAACTGGGGGGGAAAAAAGAATGGGGGGGGAAACCAGTCTTCTGGAGGAGCCCTCATACAGCCTGCCCAACTTCCTTTACACCCTCTAGGCGCAACTGCTATCAACATTCTTGGAAGTCTAGGCCCTCACAGGTACTTGTTAGGCCTTTGGGGTTTTATTTTTTTAAAGTTCTCATCTCTTTTAATTTACCAATATATCTAGGGAGCCCTCCAGGTATGTTGAAACTTGCTCCCTTATTTGGGAGTTGCCTCATTTGGCTTCCAGACTGATGGACACGCAACCACCTGCATTTGCTACTAGAAGGAATGATGCCCAGCCCCAGCCTGTCCCTCTCCCCTGGCTAATGTTCTAATGAAAACAGAAGCAGGGTCAGAGGCCATTTTATGGGCCTCCAGAAACCATCCCTAGATAAAAGTTTATTGTTCACGCTGGTAATTTAAAGCAAAGGTCTCTGGCTATCTATGCATTGATAACATGATAATTCTTTATCCGGGTGCCTGCTTAAGTCTGCACACAGTCCACCGATACTATAGAACAGAGCAGTAAATTTAGTCATTCAAATAACTATCACAGATGATCGCACAAACCATGCTTTGTTTCTCAAAAGTTCATTTTATTGGCGTAGCGTGGTTGTGGGGGGCACAGGGGCGGTTGTCCTGGGCCCAAAATTGTTAGGGGCATAAAAAATTCAACACCCAGTGCTGCCTCAATACAGCAGTGCACTTCCATCACTGGGCTCCACTGAAAATGGCTTCTCCATGTGAACAGAAAGTGACCTCTCCAGACAACAGAATGACTCTTCTTCTCTTACGTCTGGGCTTGCAATCTCCTGGGTGACATGGACACTGTTAGGCAGTTGAATGTGCATGTGTACTTCGTTTGCCTCTCACCCACCCCCTCCATGTGGCCCTGGGCACTGGCAACCCATGCTATGTCACTGGTTGATTGTGTTTTTCATTTGCTCTTCACTCATGCCTTTGTAGCTTGGAAAGAGGTTCTTCCCATGTGTCTCTAAGCAGAAAAGCCATGTGACTGACTGGGCTGCTGGATAGTCAGTCCTGGTAGGAATGCTTTTACTCCATTTGTTGTTATGAGGCCTGCCCTGCACAGCCACTATAGCAGATATGAGAGGAGTCAGGACTACTTCTAAAGCAGCCCTATGTAGTAGCATTAGCCTAACAGAACCATACATTGGTTCTAAGCCTGCTCAAAGTTGTTTCCCTGAAGGACAGGGCAGCAACAGGGAGCATTTCTTACTTTGAGGAACTTTGTGTTTGCGTCTAGGCTTAGTATTTGTTTTGTGACCTTCCTAGAGAGGGGGAGAGTGAACAAGCAACAGTGATTCTCTATAATACATTTCTGTTGTTGTTGTTGTTGTTTAGTCGTTTAGTCATGTTCGACTCTTTTTTGTTTAATTATTTACTTTTTTAAAAATTGGGGAATTGGAAGGAGCAATAGTGGATGTCTAGTGGATATGTTGCAACAAACTCTGTGTTAACCATTTCCCTACATTCACTTATTAAAAGCTGCAGCGACTGCTGGATGGGGTGGGGCAAGTCCCGTAGAATTTCTTCTGTCAGTGAGGGAGCCAGAAGCACCTCACCAGGGAGAGTATTTCACAAATGGGGAGCCACCACCAAGAAGGACCTGCCACAGGCCATTACCAATCAGGCAGCAGCCCAGCTGATCTTGGGACCCGAGATGGTTGATACTGGGGGAGTTGCTTCTTCAGGTTGGGAGTGCTTGAAGGAGGTTCAGAAATGTATCAAACATATCAGAAAAAGTTAAAAATTAAAATACCCTTCCAAATCTCTGAGGCAAATCTAGAACTTTGGGACCAGCCTATTTCACCTCAGATCCAAATTGCCTTGTATTCTGAATAGCTCCAAAGTAGGGCCATTCACTTTAGGTTTGTGCTTCATCTGGGACTTTTACATACTATTTTGGCATACTGTTGAGACTAGCTTTTAATCTGAATATTGTTGTTGTTCTCCTCTTGGTGGCTATGTTAGTGCTTTATTCTGCTCCCGGATTTATTGTACTTGAATTGGTTATGATTGTGTTTTTATTAAAGCTGCTTTGGGGACCCTTTTTAGGGCCACAAATCAATTGTATTTGTTTTTGTAAACAAGTGATTTAAAAAAAATGTGAAAGGTAATGTGTATATCAGAGAACAATATTCCAGGGCTAGCAGACTGAGTCTTCTGAAAGGCGAATGTCTCCTATTTCGCTCTACATTTTACTGATTTACTTCTGGAAATCACATCAAAAACCATAATGCCCAAGACATCCTGGAACCATTAAGAGTGGCAAAATATAGCTCTCTTTCTCAACACTCAGTGTTTCCCAATGTTTAATTCTCATGTCTTGTAAATAACAAAGGAAATGCCACACACAAGAGATCAAAAAGAAACAGCGGTGCCAGCAATCAGCTGGGAACCATCGATATTCTGGGCTATCAACTCTGTCCATGGTTATTGCCAGACCTGCACATTAAGCTAGACCTGCTGTGTGTTTGCCTCACAATCAACCTGCCATTTCCCTAAAAGGAAGGAATATTCAGCCATTTCTCTTTCTCTTTTTAAAAAGGATAATATCAAGATTTATTCAAAGCTTTTTACACTTGTTTATTTGGGCAATAAGGTCATGAAGGGACTTTGATCAAGTTTCTTCAAAGATTAACTGACATCCTCTGAAAGTACATCAGTTTCTTTTCAATCAGGTATTTGCTCAGCTCCTGACAGGGTGTTGAATTCATTAGAATTATACGGTTTCCTGGTCTTCGCTGTAGGTTTCCTTAAGACATGCTGCTGAAATCACAAAGTCTCCTCTCAGATTCCTTCCCTCCCTCTGGCTTCCTCATTCAGGTAATTCCAACTCAGAAAAGGCTCTTTCTAACTTGTTTTTGACTGACAGCAAGTACGAGGGGACGTTGGGTGGGAGTGTGGAGGGGAAGGAGGGCTTTCAAAAGCACGCACAGATACATTACCTGAGGGACACACTCCTTCAAGGAAGGGCCATCCAGCTTGACATGAGAGTAACTTCAAGAAAGGAATCTGAACTTTGCTCTTTTACAGGTAAGAGGAAATTATAAGGAGGAATGCATAGTTCCTTAGCAATAGCTGAACAACATTGCACAGAAATGCAAAGCTGATGATTAAGACTTGTCCTGATTATTTCTTTTTTTTTAAAATCCCTTTTAAAGTTACTCAAACTATCTGGGAAGCCAAGCTTGCTGAGTGCTGATGAAATTCTGTCTGGGGAAAGAAAAATAAAGGTATGTAGTTCTTGATGGGTTATCCTGATGATCTGAGGTGCTACAGGGTGGTGACGGTGATAAATCCCTCAACTTTACTTTGCCAGTCCTTTTCTTGGGCCACTGGGGTTTTTTTTGTTTTTTAAAAAAGAGTTTCCAAATGCTTATTCTGCTCAAAGACCCTGGTGTTGTTTTTCCTGTTCACTTTTCCTTTTGGTTTTTAAAAAAATCATCTTTAATTGCTGTATTTCTTAACTCGATCAGAACTCTTTAAAGTCTCAATTAACTATGTGCATAAGAAGGTATTCCACAAGAGTTTTTGTACTAATTATAAGGAGGCATAAAATAAACAACACTTGCATGAAGAATATGACCGTCTTATTTCCAAGCGTATGAAAAGTGAGATAGAATTGCAAAGCCCACCATTAATTTGCGGCAACTTAGTCATATATCCCCTTTTAGAACGTACGCCTTAAAACAGATTTATAGCAAAATTAATATTTTCCACATTGTGCTAATTCCAGAAAACAACAGATCTAGATGTTTAATGTGAAACGGGAAGATGTATGCTATTTTTAACTTCAACGGGTTAACCTTTTTCTCTTTGATTTATTGATATAAATTGTGCCCCTTTGCTGTTCAAATCATGATGCCTTTACTTTGAATATCTCTACTATTCATGTTTTAAGCCATCAATCTTAAACAGAGGAATGAACATTAAACAATACCATAATAAATAAATGCCTTAGTTCGTAACTAGATAAACATCTTAGTGCACAGCTTACTTTCAATTCCTGTTCATTTATTTGGCAGAATTAAGCACATGATTACATTTCTCCCATTAAAAATAGTGGGATATAGAGCTTTTGATTTTGCTAGGTTTGTCCAATAGCATTTTGTGATTTCTGATATACCTTCAAAAGTGACAAAAGCTCACTAAACAATGTTAATTTGTAAGTTTTTTTTAAACTGTAAATAAAAATGCTATGACCAGGCATCCATTTGTATGCTGAAGATCATGCAAGGCCTAGAGAAAGAAGCAGTAGTCGTTGGCCTGAATTCTTTAACTACATAGATATTGTTTTGTCTGAGATATGATATATCTATGTAACTGAAAATTTGTGTGCATGAAGTGTTGATCCCAAACATTTAGCACATCCTGATGGATCTGGGGGAAATGTAATAAGATCCATCCTAGACATAACACAGAATATGGCAGGATACTAAGGTTAAGAATTCTAGACTAAGCTACTTTAGATTGTTGCAGGTGAGAGGCAAATATACTACTACTCCCTGCACTTTAAAAATTGCCTAAACCAGCACATTATGAAGTTTTAATGCTGTAGGAAATTTAATACATGTAGGAAATCATTTATGTAGAACAATCAAATTTATGACACATAGATGTACACCTCCACTGAATTCTGAAAAGGTACAGTCCAAAATTCTACCACCTAAGTTGACCACTTCATTCTGTGCATGTCTCTTTTCAGTCAAAGGCTCTCTGAGGCAGCTTACAATACAATCTAACAAAATTGTACAAATCATGCCAAGCAACCCTGTTCCTTTAACTAGCGGCAGTGTCCAAAATGTGCTTCTCTTGCAGGACCTCGGGGTGAAGGGGGGTGGGGAGGAGTAAGAAATCAAATTAATAACAGTAATTTCCGTAGTAATTTGTAAAAGGGCTCTTGATGACAAAAAAATCCAGGAAAAAACCCCCAAAATTGTTCAAGAAGCATTGAGGTAGGTGCACCACAAATTGTCTCTGGCCAACCCAGAATTACTTCAAACAAGTACACAAGTACGCAAGACACACATCCAAAGACTGTACCCATTTTTAGATTTGGCTTGGACAGACCTAAATGTGTCCAAGGTTCAGGTTTTGTATCTGATCCTGGTTAAAACAGGTTAAAGCAGATCTTTTAAACTTGTTCAGTCAAGCAAAGAAACAAGCCAATGTGGCAATCATAAACTCAGGGACTCCAAACTTCTTTTTTGTTTGTCCTGATTTTATAGATAGTGCTGTTTCTTCCACTTTATTGCCCCAGATATCTTTAGCTAACACAGACAGCCGGCAGCCTCTGGTAAGAAAGAGAGAGCTAAACCTTGAAGTACCAGACGGTGCTGAGGTGCTGAGCCAAAAACAACAGAAATTAACTATTCTACATACTGCCCTGAGACTGCGTGTTTCAAATCATTTTTGGCTTTTTAAAAAAGCTACCTAAGTAAAATATTGGCATTTTTATATTATTTCTCCTTTCTCTCTTGCCCCAAAGTATTTTTGTCTGTCTCTCTATATGCAGAAATTAAACACAGAAATATACCAGATACAAGTTTCTGTATTAAAGAGTTAAAATCAAAGTTTGCCATCTCACAGAACCCATTAAATGTCAAGTGCTTGAAGGCTGCTGCCCTGCTGTTCTGTTCCTAACCTACTGGAAAGAAGGAACACTCATGAATGAGTTACTACAGACTCAAGCAGCACTTTACTATTGTGTTTCTACAGCATGGGAGACACTGAGGAATGGCCAGGAAGGGAGAATAAATAAGGGGGAAATTCCTGCTCTTGCTGTATCATTGAGAATGGGGCTGGGGCAAACATTCATCAAACCAGTGGTAGCCAATGTTGGTGCCCTGTAGGTGTTGTTGACACTAACGTTAATCAGCAGAGCCAAGGTGGGCATTGGAGTCCAGCAACAATCTGGAGGGGACCACATTGGCCACCCCTGCCTTAAATCCTCCAGCACAGCAAGTTGGGCGGGAGGATTTGCTGTTTTCCTGATTTCTGTGTGAGAACGGGTGGAACATGTGCACATCCATAAACCTAGGGACTCCCTGCTCCAGGATCCTATAAGCTATTATATGGAACTGTCCCTTTCATGAGAAGGGCTGTCGTTCAGTGGAAAAGAATATACTTCGTTGTCAAAAGGTCCCAGGTGCAACCTTTGGCAAATCAAAGTAGGACTGGGAAGGACCCCTGCCTCAAACTGTTGCCACTCAGTGTAGACCATGGGTAGGCAAACTAAGGCCCAGGGGCTGGATTTGGCCCAATTGTCTTCAAAATCCAGCCTGCAGACAGTCCGGGAATCAGCACGTTTTTACATGAGTAGAATGTGTGCTTCTATTTAAAATGCATCTCTGGGTTATTTGTGGGGCATAGGAATTTGTTCATTTTTTCTTCAAAACATAGTCCGGCCCCCCACAAGGTCTGAGGTACAGTGGACCGGCTCCCTGCTGAAAAAGTTTGCTGACCCCTGGATACTGAGCTAGATGGACTGAGAATCTGACTTGGCATAAGACAGCTTCCTCTGTCACAGCTTGTGGGAGGAAGGTTAATTTGTGCTGGAGAAAGTGCTTTCCACTTCAGTCTCCATTAAGCATTCACAAAGGACCTTTTAAGGTGAAGAAGGGGGCAGACAACCCCTAAGAGTTTAGAGGATTGCAGGGAGAGGAGAACTGGAGTTGGAGATGTGTGCCACTCATCTTTCATCCTTTCATCCATTTCCTTCTCCTGTTAGATCATAGCTACACCACCCAGGTTCAGGGTTGGGAAAGAATTAAGCTCTGCCCTGACCGTATTGAAACCTTGCTGTTGAACAACTCAGATTTGAAGAGCTAAGCTCCTTACCTAGTCCCAAACTAGAGTGGTAAAGCATGGGGAGGGAGAGATGATTTGTACGTCTCCAACCCATAACTTTCCCGCTTCAGGATGCTGTAAGCTCTGAAGGCCTTTGCATCCCTTTGCAGTTCCAAGAGTCCTTTGGAAGGTTTGCTTGAATGGGTGGAAGCACTACTATCCCATTACCCACCCAAAATGAGTGACTGAAGGTGACAGACCCCCTCATACCTTAAAGGATCCTGGAGGAGGCAGAATTGGGACAGGGCTGCATGGTTATAGCATGCAACTCCTGGTCCCTGTTTTACTCCACCCAATAAGGACAAGCAGGCTTCCTTTCACCCTGTTAGCCTAAGTGAGGGCTTGCACCTGTCGTCTGCCTTCACACTGCCAGAACTCCATGGCCCAGCCACATCCTTTAGTCTTCCCATTTGGGGTTTCTTTCTATGATATTTTCCTGCTTACTTGGGATTTCTGACTGTCCACACCATACATTTACAGCACATGGCTTCCCCAAAGAATCCTGGGGGTTCAAGGGTGCTGGGAATTGTAACTTTGTGACATAGCTACACTTCCCAGAATTATTTGGGGAGAGCTATGTGCCTTAAAAGTATGGTGTGGATGTGACCTTCTGCTGTCCCATGTGTTTGTCTAATAGGGCGTGCCTAGAAGTATGATGCATGGGCAGAATCCAGCCAAATTTAAATCCCCTTGGTGTCCATCAGAGTTACTGGTACTTAAGCTTTCTATCACAATGAGAAAACTTCCTACCTTTATCTAGACTGTTCCTTGAGTTTCAGGGCATCAAGGTCCTCTATAGCTAGAGGCAGATCAGTAGCGTGGAGCCTTAGGTAAGTCTTCCCTTGAAAAAAGTTGATGAATGGCTTTTGCTCAAGGCTTACAGCCATATTTTAGGCCAGGGGAGGAATTTTCCACCAGGTCAAACTAGCTAATGTCTTGGAGGGTGACTGTGGGCTTGTTGTTGGACTTTTTTCTTTGAGGGAAGGCTTTGTTTAGCTTCATTTGCTCGGATGATGTAGTGATATTGTGCTGCAGGCACCTTAAATCAGGGCACCTGCTCTCTGCTTGTGGTACCACCAGTCCATTGCCTGGATGTGGTTTGGTGGCTAGACAGGATGACTAGATGCCCAAGAAGGCACTATATAATCTCACAGATGATTTCAGCAGCTATTGCTTCTAATACAGAAAAGAGAAAATGCCGGCCAGCCTATCTTCATACATATTGGTTGCATTTTGTTTTTCCTGTGTCATGAAGTGGATTGAAACACACGTCAAAATAAAATTCCCTGGATAGCACTGGTTAGTGGTCAGTTAGGTCTCAATGCATCACTGCACATTTACCAAATTTGCAGTATAAACATACATGGCTGCTCAGAGATAAGCTCCACTGAGTTTAATGGGCTTGCTCCCAGGTAAGTGGGTATCAGGTTGCAGCCTTCAATGAACAAAGCGGGAAACCAACAAATAAATTAGCTCAGGATGCTCCTATGCTGTCCAATCAAGAACCACATGCAGTGTATGAGAACAAAAACACTGTGGTACTGTAGTTATCAAATTCATCTTATGTACAGTGGTACCTCGGGTTACATACACTTCAGGTTACATACGCTTCAGGTTACAGACTCCGCTAACCCAGAAATAGTACCTCGGGTTAAGAATTTTGCTTCAGTATGAGAACAGAAATCGTGCTCTGGTGGCGCGGCAGCAGCAGGAGGCCCCATTAGCTAAAGTGGTGCTTCAGGTTAAGAACAGTTTCAGGTTATGAACGAACCTCCGGAACAAATTAAGTACTTAACCTGAGGTATCACTGTATTTGAATTTAGGTTTAGAAATCATTTGTAGAATCTTAATGGCCATTCCTTGTATGCTTATTTTCCACAGCTGCACTGCCATATCAGTGTTTATGTTCTGTTCCCACCAGTCTCAACCCAGCTGATATCCATCATCAGCCTTAGTACATAACTGAAGTATTTGGCAAAGGCTAATATTTGTTGTTCTGTTGCAACAGGTGACTTGGAAAGCACCATAGTAAGTTCTCACCTTCCTTTAGTCCTGGAAAAGTCAATGAAACACACAGTTATGTGTTCAGATTGTCACATTACCATTGCCTGGATCTGATTATAGAAATCTGCTCAGCGACAGTGAACAGTCCTACATTATTTAGCACAATCGTTTCAGGACTCAGCGTTTGACGTTCTCAAGATTGTTGAACTTTTGAGCAGAGACAGGACTGTAAAAGAACAGTAATAAAGATAAGATAGCATGAAATGTAAATAAACAAGCACCACACCACCTCATTTTGCTGAAGTTATGTGCAATTGATAATGCAGAGGTTTTCATCTGTCTTCTTTTGAAATGTAGCATTGCAAAACTTTCCATAACAAAGGATAGTCAGCTACCACCTAATCCCCAAATTATGTTTCTAAAAGCATTCTGAAGATTCTTTGATGCACATTCCATGGAAGGGATTTTGGCTGTGCTGGACTCCATTGTTTTCTCTAATTTTTAGATGTTGCTCACATGCTTCAGGACAGTTAAGCATGCATTTAACTCTGCAATAATTGGAACCAAGCCCTTCACTGACACACAACCACAGGCAAGGGTGATTTGAATTGTATCTGCAGCATAGAATGGGGGTGGTGGTGTCTCTGCTGTTATAGAGACCCCACCCCTCCTTCCCATTACATTAATCAGAGCTAAGCTGAACTAGATGGGCACAGTTTGAACTAAAACAACAGCAGGAACACTGAATGGGCATTGCTGCCTTGTTTTGGGCTCTGGAGGACAAAAGTGGAGCAAGAAAAGCAAAGAAGATGCCACATATTATCACAGAAGACTAGCAAAACTTCCCTAGGGGAAGCCTTACATTTTCGAGAAGTGCAGGATCCTGCTGTCCCTGGCCCCAAATTGGTCAGCAGTCCTATCAGATATGCAGGGGAGGGGGCACACTCTGTTATGCGGCTCAGAAGAGGGAATAAACACACTGACTCCATCTGCACATAGACTGGGAGGTCAAAGAGGTATTCCTGCCTCCTATGGCAACGATCTGCAGCTCTTTAGGAAGCATCACCGTACACAGAGTAGCAGCAGTATAACACAAAATAGAGCAAAAGGATGACTCAACTCTTCTTAGGATGTAGAATGAGACCTGGTGGAAGTAATTTTATTTGATGGCTCTGACAGCATTTGCTGCTATTTCCCTCTCCCCCATCCACCAGCCCCTGAAAAAGAAGCAGGAAGAGGCTGCTGGTTAGCTGGCCGAGCATTTTGTTGAGTGTAAGTTGTTTTGCCTCTCACTCTCTGTTTGTTTTCCTCAGCCTTGTTTCTTTGATAGGCGTGCAGCCCTGTGTGTGTCCCCTCTCTACCCTAAGCCATGATTTGTCCCCAACCTATTGCTCTCCCTATAGCCTAACTGTCTTTTCTGGTATTCCTGCACTTGATTCTATGTTCTCTCTGTCCTGGAAAAAATGCTACACCTGTCCTAAGCGAGAACTTCAAGGTCATCTATAAATATGCTCCATTTATCCCCTGGCACCTCTAGCCAGCTTTTCTATTTGCTCTGAAGTATGTTTCCTGCTGTGAGTGGAAGTAAGACCTATTGAATTTAATGGGGCCTACAGCCAGATAGGACTGCAGCCTTATTTGCATTCCATCTCTCCCTCCAACCAAGAGCTGGTCAGCATTATGTGGCCATGCTCAATCCTCATAGAAATGGCCCGCACCCAAATAAAGTTGTACTCCAGCAAACTTTGGGGTTCCCTCTTGTGGGCTGATAGCTCCCTCAAGTGGATGTCATTTTAGCTACAGAAGGCTTCTGGACTTTGAAAATAGGGGGAAGTATGGGTTAGAGCAGTGCTGGAAGCCTCTGGGGCTCTTTCTTTGTTATATTTCCCTGACATGCTGGTTGCATCTTCCAGAAGTGAGAAAGAGATTTAGGTAAGCTCACAATGCAAGCTAGCATCCAGCAGCAGGCAGTGTCCATGCCGAGAAGGAAAAGCATCATTGTCAGTGGGCTGGTCACTTGTCAAGCATGCTGGTCTGGAAAGTCAAAGCCATTCAGGAGGTAAAGGGGGAGTTATCATCTGAAAACAGTGCCAGTATGTGGGCTCCTTCAACTCAGCTTCCACAAATTCATCCCTTGTCTCCTATGCTTCAAGCATAAGCATAAGGAAAAGACAGCCAAACTCTCTGCCTTTCATGAAATGCTGAAATCTATTAACTTGCTTTTCATTAAAGAAAGGATGTGAAGCTGCAGCTGAAAGCTATCATTTCATTATGGAAAACTCAATAGTTTTCCCTGTTGAGCTTTGATGTTTTCACCTCCCTCATAAAACATCAATGAATTCAAGGGACTTATTGACATAGTATTGAACTGGAACAAAGAATCATGGCATCTTGCATTCTTCTTGTTTTATAATTCTTTTGAAACATGGTCACTCTCCTCTGCTTATTTCTGGAAATCATACTCAATTTCAGTGATTCTTGTAGAACACAGTTTCACTTGCAGGCACTAGGCTACTTGCTCTGAGACGCGTTCATGTTTCACATTTGAAACAACAGGTAGGACCAAATTCCTCTGGAGCACTTTCCTTCCTTTCTCCAAGAATGTGCAGAAATGGAAAAAAGGGGGGCATTTTTTTTCCATTTGTTGCATAGAGAGCAAGAAAACTTGGCAAATTCGCCAGCCAAGTACTGGAATTTGGGTGGGTCTCGGAAAAAGCACAGACTTCAGTGGAAAACATATATGGGTGTGCGTGTGAAAAAGTATTTTAAACTATAAATTGACCACATACATAGATTGGTGAGAAAAAATATATATGTAAGAATAATCTAGAAACGGATCATGAAATTTTTGCTAGAAGACAAGCTGATTTTTGTCCTAGGAAAGCACCATGGACATTTGTCAAGCTCAGTTATATTAATGGATCCCCAAAGCTGTACTAATTCTTAGAAGGAGGGAGGAAAGCTATAGACTCCAGTTGAATGTGTAAACAGATATTTTTTTTTAAATTGGAAATGGGAATGGATGAATCAGTCTGTTTCTGGTCAGTGACACTTTTGGAAGTGTTCAATCTTAAGTCCATTCCTTCCTGTTTCTGCATTAAGCTGTACTGTTTTCTTTTCTTTTCTTTTCAACCCCCCCCATAAAAAATCACATTTAAATAGTTTTTTTAAAAATCTCTAAAAAAATACAATTCAACCCGTGTGTGTGTGTGTGTGTGTGTGTGCATGTGTGTGTTACAAGATTTGGTTTGGACTCTGATTCACTGCTTTCAGAAGCAGCATCCATAAATATGTGCATGCATAAAAATACACACATATTGCTCAGGTTCTTCCTTTGAAATGAATTGGCCAGTCAGTGTTTGCATGTGTTGCGTGTGCATTTGAGCACCTGCAGTTCTCTTGACTGAGGCAAGGCTGGTGTCAGAGATTGACGTATTTAAGCACCTGCTGGTATCCAGCGGTTTGAAGAGATGTCACACTGCAAAGACCCCATTAGCTCCTGCTCCTTCTCCTCACTGTTGCCACTTTCTCCTTTGTTGTTCCAGAGAGGATGAACAAATGCAGTAAGGAGGAGGAAGCAGCCACTGCCACTGCTCACTAGCTCGCTAGTTTTCTCCTTGGCAAACAAGAAGGCAGCATTGGCAAGGAGAGCAACAGCAGGTGACAATGGCAGCAAGGAGGAGGTAGGCCTGTGCCCAAAGGACCAAAGGCTTTCCCAAATTGAGAGCCGTGGTCATGAGTGATAGGGGCACCAGCCATAGATTTTGTGTAGGCCCCTTGCTGAAGCTTTAACAATCTACCCCAAAGTTTATTTCAGCTGATTGTTAATCATTCCCTTTCCTTTGTGTACATAAACAGCAATTCATTCCATGGGTTTCTTTGTATTTAGCGTATGTGTTAAATGAATGCAAACATTTTCATATTTTTTATGTGCTTAGCACAGGGGTGTGTTTAGCCTCGTGAACTGGGAAGGCTTCTCTTAAAAATACAAAGGGATTGAATGTCTCTCTTTCAATTAAAAGCCATGCCAAGGTACAACCCTGTTGTTTTTTTAAATGTAGAGTATTTATGCTTTGGGTGTGTTTCAAGATAAGTGTGTGAAGAGCAGGGATGTCAAGAGAATTCAATAAATGGACATGGGAGCAGAAATGGCCCAAATTCGCATGTTCACCCAAGGTCAGGAATGGAAATCATGTAAGCAATCATGTAGCAGGATTTGCTATAACTGTTTTTGATGTTTCCCTTCCACTGATATGCATTGAAATTAATTGCATAATTAATTACATAATTTATTATGTTAGTTTTGTCCATAGCAGTTAGAAATACAAAAAAGGAAGGTTTTAGCAGAAGCCAAATTGTGGAGAGATGAAACAAGTGCTGATTGTGAGGAACACAGAATGGGACAGAAATTGCATGCCTCCATAGTGAGGAAGGACTTTCCTATCTCCAAAATATTTCAGAAGGGCTTAGCTAGTGAACATATCACCCATGGTTCTTCTTTTTGCCTCTGGGCAATATTCTTTCACAGAAGAGATGTGTGGTTTGCCCCACCACAATGTGTATATGTGTGTGGATAGATAGATTGACAGATGGATGTTGTCATTATTTTTAATGGCATTTGCTCACATACTGGCATATTTAGATTATGGACTGGTAGGTGTTGCAAAACAAACCTGCTTTCACAAATGATTGGACTTTTTGCAATAAGGAAAGTGGTGAGAAAGTGTAGGCCAACACAATACATGCTTGATACAGGATTGTTTAATCTCTACACAAACAAATCAGGATGGGTGCACATTAAGCAGGTTATCTGGAAGCAACCTAGGAACCAAAAACCAACAAAGTATAAAACCAAAATCCACAATATTCAAACAGACTTTGTTATGATATATGTATTTTTAAAAATGGAGAGGAGGTACACACTTCATATAACTGTGGCTACTTAGAAATGCCAAACACTATTTCTAAGGAGCATGTTGTACAGAGTCTACTTCTGAGTAAGCTTGCATTGAATTGTGCTGCAAGAAGAAGAAAAGAACGTTTGCAAAGTGGTGGGGCTTTGCTGCTTTTTAGTATTTAGGTGAACAGACCCCTGCATGAATGTGGCAATTGGTGTGCGTGTCTCTGCTGGGGACAGCGGCAAGGATGCTCAGCTCCAAAGTTTTACAAATAATAAATAACATAAAAATGGAACTGGCATGGGGAGAGAGTGGTGTTGCTTAAATCAAAAGGTTGAGAGGGCCTTGTAGGACAGCTAATGTAACCTGCTGCTTGCTGCAGGAAATCTGGAGCTAGATCACCCCATAGAGATGGCAGTCCAGCTTGTAGATCTTCAGAGGAGAAAAACCCACCACTCCTCTAGGTAGTTGCTTTAACTGGAAAACTCCTCTTCTATCAGTAAGATGTGGCATCATTCATGTCACAGGCAGTCGTTCAAGGTGACTGTGATACCTGCACAACCATATGGCAATTTGCTGACTTTAAGGGCAAATGCCAACAGCTGCACATTTCCATGGCGAAATAAATAGCTCAAGATGAAAGGCCCCAGGATTGCAAGGAAATTGAGATACATGGTGATATACAGATTTGCAACGATGATGCCATGTGTGGAATAATCCTATGTTCTAGGAATCTCCTAGTTTGGAGAGCTATGGCTAGTGATTAATTTCTGAAAGTGTGCCAAGGCTAATATACCACTCCATATATCATGGATGCCTTGCCACTCACCCCACCCTGAGGAGCTGCTGTGCTCAGAGGCAATGGCTCCAATCTAGATAAAGTTAATAATGCTCAAGTCTCACTGAAATCAGTGGACAAATTATCTGTCGTAACCAACTGAAACCCAACTGATGCCTGTGGGGCTTAGTCATGGTTAACCTTCTCTAGACTGGGATCCATTTCATCAATTTTGTTTTGTGTATCTTGCCAGGGGAAGCTCAGCCACTGATGACTTCTGGCTGAAATACCGACCTTGTTATGGCCTTCACATAACACATAAAAATTCAAAACACTGTGGTCTGAAGGGTGAAATTCCTGGTGGGCCTGGACAACTCATTGTGCCTTAATTCCTCCAGCATAAAACATCTACTTCATGGGTTTGTTATGTAAGGGCAGCTAGTCTTGAGTTTGAGGACCAAGGGGAGAGTCCTATGACTAAGACTACTGGGGATTGGCTGACTGTGTAAAGTAGAGAAAGTGATAGCTTTGAGATTATCAACAAAGTTATAAACACAGAAGGTTAAGCAGAGGCATAGGAACAACCATCCTGGGTTGGATATTAGCCACAGTAGAATGTGATCTGGGGAACTAGTGGGGAATAGAAGTGGGAGGGTGTGGAATTGGATGGATTGCAACTGAAACAGCTTGGATCCTACCAACTAGTGCTGGCATATATGTGCAGAATTAGACACAAGGGCAGGTGTGCACTAAAACAGCATAGATTTTTGGGTCATTATAGCATTATAGATAATGGCTGCGTTCTTATGCACACTTACCTGGAAGTAAGCTCTGTTGTACACAGTGGCATTTGCTTCTGAGTAAACATGCACTGGATTGTGCTGTAAGAGGATTGTCTTCATTAACCCCCCCAGTTCAACTGTCACCTTAATAGCAAGCTCCCTGGGTAGACCAGCCAATCTTCTGCCTCAGCTATCCTCTCCATCTGCAAAATGGGGATAATGATATTTTCTGATCTTTAAAGGTTGTTGTAACAGTTACTGAAACTTTTGGGCACTGTGGATCCAGTGATATTGGTGCATCCCCACGGATACTATATATAGTCTAGCCTGAAGTTGCAACTGAGATTGCAGCTGACAGGCAGTGCAGAAGAAAATAGATGCCTTTCTGATGTGCGTGAAATCTTGATGTGAAGACTAGTCTCAGGAATGAATGCACAGACTACTAAAACTGGTGTAAGAAGTGTCTAATGCAAATGTAATGCCTGCATTGCTGGGGGATGGACTAGAAGACCCTTGGGGTCCCTTCCAACTCTCCAATTCTATGATTGAAAACCTGTGAGCTTAAGGGAGGGGAAGGAAAAGTGCCCCAGATTTAATGAAACAAAGCATTCCAGTGAATCTGCTTAGCTAGTTATCCAAAGTTCCATTTCACTACAGTGGTACCTCGGGTTACATACGCTTCAGGTTACAGACTCCACTAACCCAGAAATAGTGCCTCGGGTTAAGAACTTTGCTTCAGGATGAGAACAGAAATTGTGCCCCGGCGGCGCAGCAGCAGCAGGAGGCCCCATTAGCTAAAGTGGAGCTTGGCGTAGCGTGGGGGGTGCAGGGGGGCCGGCCGCACCGGGCGCAACATCTGGGGTTAGGGCAAATCCACGGGTTAGGGGGCGCAAATCCACGGGTTAGGGGGCGCAAATTACTTGCCTTGCCCCGGGTGCTGACAACCCACGCTACGCCACTGGTTTCAGGTTAAGAACAGAACTCCGGAACGAATTAAGTACTTAACCCGAGGTACCACTGTACTGTATTTGCAGTACTCTTAATTTCATGTGTACAATAAGGCCCTCACTTTCCAATGACTTTTCCTTTATGGGTGTTACCGCTATAGTGCAATTCAGAAGTAATCATAAACTTGTTATCGGAACTCATTATCAAAAAGCACTGCTTTATATGGCTCATATGTTTTGAAGTCAAAAACCAATTCAATGAACGTTAACTGCAGGATGTAAAATTGTGTGCTAAAGAGGGTAAAAGTTTTCCCTCCTTTCTTTGCTTGTGATATTTTTGAGCCCCTGCCATATGTCTGCATCCTTTTAAAATGCTGAAGCAGTGCTGATATAGAGAGAAACAAAGACTTAATGAAATTTGACACATACACATGAAAAGTATCAGCCCACCAAAATTGTATCTGCTACAACTCAGGGTGGCCATTCTAAGGATGGTCCCCATCTGTCCCTTTTCTTAGTCTTCTAGTCTTACCTTCCATTCACCACATTTCTAGGTCACAGTGTGAATTCAATTTTTTTAATTTTTTTGTTCTCATGAAAATTCATCAGCCTCTTAGTATGTGTTTTATACATTTTGGTCTAATACATACATTTTTGGAAGCAATTTCCCCTCCTATAAAGCATTATAATGATATTTTCGCTAATATGAATTTTTATGCACATTCCCCTCTAGTCTGTAATTTTTTGCTTGGTGAACTGCACCATAAAATGAGAAGGGTGTATTTGGAAGTATAGCTGTGTTTTGCCTCACATATTGTTGCAGAAAGTGCAAACGAGGTGAGTTCACATTTAAATACAAAACAATACTGAATGTCTTTCTCATCCCTAAGCCCAACAGATCTGGCAAAATAATGAATTATAGTTCATTAATGAAGAGTCTCTCTGGGAGATTAATCATTGCAGAAAATGCCATACTATCTACAACAAAGCTACAAAACAAAATTGTGCTAAAATTATTGAAATACATGTCTGGATTCAAGAATCCACTAGGCTGGCCAGCATATGAAATAAAACAATGAGACTATTTTGGGAAGTCCCACTGAATGCAATTGAAATTGATTGAATAGTCCGGGAATGCACATTAAAATAACAACTCCCCCAATGATGCAATGTTTGTTTCATTTTTGGATGGCAAACCAGGAATCCAGTGAACTCCTGGATCCATTCTAGCCCAGACCTGCCATTGGCAAAAATGTCCTGGAGCATGAAATGTATTCA